AAACCCTAAACCCTAAACCCTAACCCTAAAGGCTACGAAGCCTAATGATCCTCCAGTGCTCCCAAAAAAGGAGATCAAGTGGGCCAAGTCCGATGGCATCTTCGCAAACCCAGACTGGTATCCAGGGCTCCTCGACGACATTTGGGGTTTAGGGTGTACGGTGTAGGGTTTAGGGTTTATGGTTTAGGGTGTAGGGTTTAGGGTTTAGGGGGTACTTTATTGGAGTCCTCAGTATAAATTTTTTGGGGTCCCTGATTTTTTGGAAGCCCCCCAAATTAGCGCATCAGCGCTTAGGGCTTTAGGGACTCGTTGTGTGGCGTGTAGGAAGTAGGTGTTTTCTTAGGCAACTTGCTCGATTGGCATCCAGAGATGATGGATTTAGGCATCTAGGGTTCTGTTAGGGGGAAGGGGGGTTCGTGGGCTTTTGGTGCCCGAAACCCTTCGGGTTTAGGGCTTGCGGCTGACGAGTAAAGAAACCTAAGATCATGGTTGCTGGTTTGCAGGGGGAGGGCCGGAGCGGGCGAGGGGAGAAGGGGGGGAGGGAAGGAGGGGGGGGGGGGGTGTGATCTTGTAGCCATGGCGGATGAGCCGAGGGTTTCGGGGTTTGAGGGTTTGAGATTTTTCGAGGGGTTTTGGGAGAAGGGTTCAACGCCGAGGGCTTGAGATTTGAAGTTTTTTGCTCAAAGGTAAATCTTGAGAACGATATGACTGGTTCTCGGTCAGGAAGGTGGAGGCATGGACAGGGCAGGTCTTTTTGATCTATACAAAAGGGCCCCTTTGTGTGGGTTCCCCAACAACTTCGTTCGGCGCAAACCCGGCGCCCGCAAGCCTGAATTGAAACCCGCAAGCCCCTCAAACATCTCCGGGGCTTTGTACCCACCGCCCCCCCCCCCCCCCCTTCAACTCTTTAGCGCCCCTAAGCCCTAAACCCTAAACCCTAAACCCTAAACCCTAAGCCCTAAGCCCTAAGCCCTAAGCCCTAAGCCCTAAGCCCTAAACCCTAAACCCTAAACCCTACACCCTAAACCCTAAACCCTAAACCCTAAACCCCAAACCCTAAACCCCAAACCCTAAACCCTAAACCCTACACCCAAACCCTAAACCCTATTCCCCGAATTGATTTTGGGTAGTTGGGGCTCAACCCTCGACCCTGAGCCAGGCTCACCCCGACGTCTCCCGACGTCGAGTTTCAGAAAACTCTGCACGGCCGCCCCGCCCAACTGTTTTGGGGGTTTAGGGTTTAGGGTTGAGGGTTGAGGGTTTAGGACTTAGGGTTTAGGGTTTCGGGTTTAGGGCTGGTGCCCGGTGTTGAGGGTTTAGGGCTTTAGGCGTTCATCCTTCCTAGGCCCTCAGGAGTCACTGTAAGTTTTCTGGTTCTTGGTAGAAAAATGAGAACCAGGTGCTAGCCAAAAACACAGGCTCTTTGACGAGTTCTCCAGATTCCTTGCACAAAGCCAGCCAGCTCAACATCGACTGAGGCTCCGGGCACAGAAAAATATCTGGGGCAGAAAAATGACTAGTAGTATTCCCTCATGGCCCCTTTATGATTAAAGCATAATAGGCCCCACAACCCCAATATAGGGTCGGAATAAGTACTGATAGTATTCCCTTAGGGCCCCTTTATAACTATACTCCAAAACCACCCAAAATCCTATTCTAATTATGAAGGCCCCTACCTAAACCTAAACCTAAACCCTAAAGCCTAAACCCTAAACCCTAAACCCTAAACCCTAAACCCTAAACCCTAAACCCTAAACCCTAAACCCTAAACCCTAAACCCTCAACCCTGAACCCTGAACCCTGAACCCTGAACCCTGAACCCTGAACCCTGAACCCTAAACCCTAAACCCTAAACCCGAAACCCGAAACCCGAAACCCGAAACTCTAAACCCTAAACCCTAAACCCTAAACCCTAAACCCTAAACCTTCGAAGGCCGCATGGGATTGGGGTAAACCTTGGGATGTTCCCCCTGATACCAACAGCCCTTAGTAGGGATTATAGTACACCCTATTCTAATCCCTCTTAAGGACTGTTAGAAAAGGGAGAACATCCCGAGGTAACCCCAAACCCCCAACCCAAAACCGGTTGGGAGAGTCCAGGGGTTTTAAGATGGGCTCGGAGGCAGGAGCACCGATTGAATCCGCCGTAAGTTTTCGGTTTAAGGTGTAGATGTAAATATATATATAGATGATATTAAACTATATTCAATCATGTCGTATCTTATCATGGGTTTATATCTTTGGCTTGACGAGGGTGTCGGCATTCGGCTGCAGGGCCTGAGGGCCCAAGGGCTCGAGGTCGTCAGGTTTTAGGAGCCGTTTGCCCTTCCCAGGCAGTGGCGGTACTGCCTGTGCGGCGCCATGTGAGGTGTGAGACGCCCGCAAGTTCTGAAGATTGGAGGAGTTTGGGCAACACCCCCCCCCCCCCCACCACTAAATCCGAAATTTCGCTAACCCCTAAACTTTAGACCAAAAACCCTCTTAAGAGAAGCCCTTAAATGTAACCCCCAAGCCTTAGGTCTTGGGGTTCAGGGCTTCATGAGACTCAGCCGCTTGCGGCTGGGGGGGAAAGTGCTGAACAACAGCTTCGCACCAACCCTCAACCTGTGCCCCAAGCTGGGAGCTGGCAGCCGGGCCGAGGCAACCCTTTTCAACGGGCTTTCAAGGGTTCAAGGGTTTAGGGTTTAGGGTTTAGGGTTCAAGGTTCAATGGTTCAGGGTTTAGGGAACATGGCCGACATGAAGGTTCATGGGCAGTCTAGAGAAAGAGGTAGGATGGTCAAGGCCCTACCGGTGTCCTAAAGCCTACTTCTGACCACACCTGACTCACTTGGTAGAGGGTTGGGGCATCTTCCGGGTGATGCGGTTCAGGTCATGCCCCCCCAAGCAGCCCAACTCTCCAACTCAGAGATCCAGGGGTTATGGCCGGTTAGGGTTTCGCCACTTAGGGGAGTGTCAAGGTTAGTAACTTGTTTGGCTTATAGGCAGAGGGTCACATTCCGAAACATCTGTTCTTGGGGAGTTTGTGCCGGCCAGCCTAGCAAGCCACCACTGAATCCCTCCAAGCCCAAGGTTGCGCAGCTAACAGTCAGCAACTTGTTTGGTTCTTCATGGGGCCAGTAAGGACATGGGTGTCCTCTATGATCCCTCTAAAAAGGGGTGGGGGGATAGAAGGTAGTGCCCTAGTTCCCTGGGACGAGTAAGCGAAAGGAAGTCTCGCGCTGCCAGTTTTGCTCACCAACAGCGTGAAGTATGTCAAACATAGGCAGCGCCGACGAGGCTAGATGTCATCACCTCTGGAACCTGCAGCCCTTAAGGGACTTGTGGGGTTTAGGGTTTAGGGTTTAGGGTTTAGGGTTTAGGGTTTAGGGTTTAGGGTTTGGGGATCTTGCTTTGGAATGTTTTTCGGTAGAAGGGTCTAGCTCATGAGTATGCATAAGCGTGGCAACAATGGCCACAACCCCAACCATAGGGTGTATGTGTATGTATACACATACGTATATATGCAACCCTACCTTTGATGATCAACTTGTCCATGGGCTTGCTTCCAACGGGACCGCAAAGTATCGGAGAAACGCTAAACCCTAAACCCTAAAACCCTAGACCCTGAACCCTAAACGCTGAACCCTAAACCCTAAACCTTAAACCCTAAACCTTCAGCCCTACGCCCGAAACCCCAAACCCTAAACCTAAAAACTGCCCCTCCCGACATGAGATCCTGCAATTCTCCCGTGGTGCGGCCTTCAACGATTTGCCTTGAAGTCTGTGTCTTCCTTCCGCACCGCTGGCGGATGCCCCTCTATCATCTGCCTTGCTGAGCTCCGCCCTAACCCTAAACCCTAAACCCTAAACCCTAAACCCTAAACCCTAAACCCTAAACCCTAAACCCTAAACCCTAAACCCTAAACCCTAAACCCTAAACCCTAAACCCTAAACCCATAAACCCTAAACCCTAAACCCTAAACCCTAAACCCTAAACCCTAAACCCTAAACCCTAAACCCTAAACCCTAAACCCTAAACCCTAAACCCTAAACCCTAAACCCTAAACCCTAAACCCTAAACCCTAAACCCTAAACCCTAGACCGAGACCCTAGACCCTAGACCCTAGACCCTAGACCCTAAACCCTAAACCCTAAACCCTAAGGCCAAGCCCTTTAGCTCGAAGCCCTGCTTGGAGGTGAATGCGGGGTTATTAGCATGGCTCTCGGCCTCACGTCATGTAATGTAGGCGGCGGAATATGTACTAATAATATACCCTTATATATGGCCCCTTTATATAGTTATACTATAATAGCCCCGCAAATCCCCTATCCTAATCATTCAGGCCCCTATATTAGCTCACGACTCGAACGCACTTAGTGGACGTTCGCTGAGGGATCTCCGCCAAGGCCCGCTTTGAAATTTGGCTCGGAACCTCCAGTGGCCAATAAGGCCAGCTGGGGGGCGGAACCCTTCAGAGGCCCCCCCCTTGCTGGCTGAGCAAGGAGGCTCTGCTAAACAAGAGGTCTGCCAAATCTTCGCTTCAAAGACTGCACACGGAATGCTCGTAAAGAAGCTGCGCGCTCTCCCAGACCCTGAGTCCCCCACAGTTTAGTGGGTTTAGGGTTTAGGGTTTGGGGTTTAGGGTTTAGGGACGCCCCCCTCCGGTGGTTCTGGGTTTCGGCTTTCGGGTTTTAGGGTTTAGGCTTTGGGCTTTAGGGCTTTGGGTTTAGGGTTTGGACAGCAACAGGGATTCAGATGGAGCCTTCAAGGGCCTTCGGGGCTCTTTGGCATGTGCAGCGGTCAAGCTTCAGAATGGGGTTCAGGAATGTAGGGGCCTTTGGACTACAATGCTCCTCAATCCCAAGCCCTGACCCCTGACCCCTGACCCTGACCCTAAACCCTAAACCCTAAACCCTAAACCCTAAACCCTAAACCCTAAACCCTAAACCCTAAACCCTAAACCCTAAACCCTAAATCTGGTCGGGCGGTCCCCGAAAGCCTCCTTGAACGCAAGCCAGGCCCCTCCGGGCGTGGACCCTGGGCGCTTCAAGATCATGAAGATGGAAGCGGCGCCTTGAAGGCATCCAGGTGTGTACTTGGAGGTTTAGGGTTTAGGGTTTAGGGTTTAGGGTTTAGGGTTTAGGGTTTAGGGTTTAGGGTTTAGGGTTTAGGGTTTAGGGTTTGGGGTCTAGGGTTTGGGGTTCAGGGTTTGCAGGATTGTAGGGTGTTAGGGTCTTAGGGGGCCTCGGAAAGTTTAGGGCTTTTAGGGTGTAGGGTCTAGGGGTCTAGGGTGGGGGCCCCACGCCGGTGGGCAACGATCTCGAATCACAACTTCTGGGGCTTCGAATCGGGAACCCTAAGCCTTCTGGAGACGACGCGGTGCATGCCGGGACCTCCCTGACGCTTTCTGCATCAACAGGGCTTAGAGTTTAGGGTTTAGGGTTTAGAGTTTAAGTTCTACGGTTGAAGATCTAAGAGTTCCTGAACCACACGAGATCTCCGTAAGCGTGCTACCTAGATCCCGACTCCGCCAAACGCACCCACGCCTTGTTCATTCACTGGGTGAATGCAGAGGTCCGGCCGCTAAAAGCAGCGTCTTAGGTCCACAGTTTGGGGTTTGCGACCATCTATGCTCACCCTACATTAACTGTTATAGCTGTCTGGAACAAGCAAAGTTGAGGTCCAACGACTCCGCGAATTCCCCTTGTAGTCAAACCGAAGAATATAAGACTTTGCGTTCTAGGCCGCAGGGTGGTAGGGTTTAGGGTTTAGGATTTAGGGTTTAGGGTTTAGGGTTTAGAGTTTAGGGTTTAGGGTTTAGGGTTTAGGGTGTAGGGTGTATAGGGTGTAGGGTGTAGGGTGTAGGGTGTAGGGTTTAGAGTTTCCTTCTTGTGAGGGTTTGGAGTGTCGGTCATTCGGGTCTTAGGGTGTTAGGCGTGTGTGGCTTTAACAGGCTTCAGGATCCCCCTGCCCTAAACCGTCCCGCAATTTTTAGGGCAACTCTACACCGGAAACCTAAGCCCTAAACCCGAAACCCTAAACCCTAAACCCTATATAAACCTCGGATTCTTCTGTGTGGCCCCTTGCACTTGTGGCCCGAGGTGCAGATTCGCGCGCTGATAGGCAAGGGCGGCGAGACGGTGCAGGACCTTGTAATCTGGTTTTTAGGGTTTTATTGGGTTATTTATTGGTTTTATTGGGTTTTTATTGGGTTTTTATTGGTTTTATTGGGGCTTTATTGGGTTTTTTTGTTGGGTTTCGTCGGGGTTCTATTGGGTTTGATTGGGTTTTACTGGGGCTTTATTGGGTTTTTGGGAGGGCTTGGGGATTTAGGGTTTGGGTTTCGATGTTGCAGCCCCATGCAGGGATTAGGGGCTAGCATGCATCCAAGAAGTGGCCGGAACTTAGTTTACGTGATTCGAGTTTAGGGTTTAGGGTTTAGGGTTTAGGGTTTAGGGTTTAGGGTGCTTGAACCCATAATTGCAGCAATACCTCACCTCCTCGATACGGTTTCGGGGTTCTTGTGCGGGGAAACAGAAAGGCACACCCATGGAAGCGTACCCGAATCCCTCTCCCCTAACCCTAAACCCTACTAACCCTAAACCCTAACCCCTAAATCCCGCACCCTGGACCCCTAATTAGCTTTAAAGTTCCATAGCAAGGGCAAACCGGTCGAACCAGGGAGAAGGAAGGGAAGCCGGAATACTCCGGAGAAGTTCGGGGGAATGCGTAGGGGGAATGGGCGGAATTCGATAGGGAAATTGGTCCTCGCCAGGAGATCCGGAGGAACAGTGGGTCCGAGGCGCCCGAAGGGTTCCTAAAACCTAAACCCTAAACCCTAAACCCTAAACCCTGAATCCCTAAACACAATCCTTACACTGATGAGCCCTGTGGGTGGGTTTGAAAAGGCTCCTGAAAGGGGCCCATTTGCTTTTGAGTTGCATCGGGCTTTCTGGTTTTGAGGTGCTCATGTTTTGCACGGGCAAGCCCTAAACCCTAAACCCTAAACCCTAAACCCTAAACCCTAAACCCTAAACCCTAAACCCTAAACCCTAAACCCTAAACCCTAAACCCTGAACCCTAAACCCTAAACCCCAAACCCTAAACCCTACAGCCTAAGCCCTCAGGTGAAAATCGACCATCAGCCGACGGACCCCTTCGGAACGGCCGGGGCTCCAGTGGTTGAACCTGGAGCTTGCAAGGGTGTAGGTTTAGGGTTTAGGGTTCAGGGTTTAGGGTTTAGGATTTAGGGTTTAGGGTTTAGGATTTAGGGTTTAGGGTTTAGGGTCTAGGGTTGGAACGGCCTAACCCTAAACCCTGCCAGTGACTCCCCAAACCCTGCCACACAATAGGCTATAACCCCCCCAAATATGGGGCAGAACTCCCAAAATCGTAGGTTGATGGAGCCCCAGGTAAACCTTACACCCTCAACCCCAGAGCCTTTCTGAGGTCACCATCATCGGCGACCTCGTCAAGACAGAGGCGATGATCCAGGACGTCGAGACAGCCTTACACCCTTCAGGGGCTTAGCGAAGTCTTTTTTTTGTTTTGTGTGTGTGTGTGTGTTGTTCGGGGGGCTAGGGGTTTGCGAGTGAGTTTTTGTGGAAGCTTGATGAGTAGGAAGGTGCAGGCTCGTAAGGGTAGCCGCATGAGTAGATGGCTTGTCCTCATGACTCATCATGAGCCCTGAAGTAGATTTCAGAGAACCCGCTCGCAGGCATGTAGCGCTATAAGTGGGAGGCGACTCCCTAAGTAAGGTACATGCAACCTTGCGTAAAATTGCCCATGAAGCTTCAAGTACAACACCAAAGTCTTCAGCGCGTCCTACCCCCCAGGACAATTGTGGCCCTTGTTGTGGTCCCTAACCTTCTTGACAGGGTTCTGATGTATGGGCCCTTAATTTGTAAGGGGTATATCAGGGGTCTGTAAGGGGTACCCTTTTAAGGACCCATGCTAAGGGACCCATGCAACGACCCTAAGAGTCAAGGGGCGTGCCCCACTACCAGGAGGCGCTCAACGCCAAGGGCTGCCCCCTGGGGGCTGGGAGCCTGAGTGTGGGGTTTAGGGTTTAGGGTTTAGGGTTTAGGGTTTAGGGTTTAGGGTTTAGGGTTTAGGTTTTAGGGTTTAGGGTTTACAGGGTTTAGCGTTTACAGGGTTTAGGGTTTACAGGGTTTAGGGTTTACAGGGTTCAGGGTTTACAGGGTTTAGGGTTTACAGGGTTTAGGGTTCAGGGTTTACAGGGTTTAGGGTTTAGGGGTTTTCGGGAAGAGGGGACCTCATACCGAAGTCAGGCAATGGTTTTTTCTCGAGAGGGTATGGCGCCCTCTGGGTTCCGGGAGCAGGGTGATGCTTTGGTTGATGGGTTGTGGGCTTCAGGTTCAGAGACTCTTGGGCGTTGTGGGGTGCATTTATGGGCTTTGGGCTTAGGGTTTAGGTTTAGGGTGCTTTGGAGGGGCTCTGCGCTGGAGGGGGTTGAGAGCTTCGAGCCCTAAACAGCCCAAACCCCGCCAAAAGGCTCCTGGTAGTTGTCAGCACAGTTCCGGCCTGGTTCTTTGCCACTCGCTATGCCACCGCATTCAAGGCTCCTGAAACCCCAAACCCCTATCCCTAAGAGCCCTGAACACCCAAAGCCTCACCCCCCTTTACAGGTAACTGAAAGGTTACAACCGTGGGCCCTTAGAATTAGGTCCCTTACCCCTCTTTAAAGGGCGATGAAGGCATCCGAAGTGTGGGCCCTCATTATACAACAGGGGACCCAATGTAATTGCCCATACTTCGGGTCCCCTAAGAACCTGGAACCCCAAACCTGAAACCCCAAAAGCCTCAACCCCTAAACCCCGAACCTTGAACCGCCCTAAACCTGAAACCCCAAACCCCAACAGCCCTAAGAGCCCTACGAGCCCCAAGAGCCCTAAGAGCCCCAAGAGCCCTGAGAGCCCTGAGAGCCCTAAAAGCCCCAAGAGCCCCAAGAGCCCTAAGAGCCCTAAGAGGCTTAGACCCCCCCAAAAGCATCAACCCCAAGGTTCCCGCCCGGGTGCCGGCGACTCCCGGGACCGTGCCAACCCCCACACCGGTGCCCCAGCCAGGAAGTAGGGGTTTTAGGGGTTTTTGTGGATTTCAGGCTTAGGAAATCAGGGTTTCAGGGTTTCAGGGCCTCGGGTTTCAGAGTGGTTTGGGATTATTGTTTTTTCTTTTTTTTTTTTTTTGGGGGGGGGGGGGGGGGGGTGGGGGTTTGGGGGCTCATGGTTCAAGGTTGCGGATTCGAGGTTTCAGGGTTCCGAGGCTTGGGACTGGGGGGATACTGGAGCGTGCGAGGTTTGGGGTTCGGGGTTTCGGGCTTTTGGGCTTGGGGCTTAGGGTGTAGCAACTTAGGTTTGTTGTCTTGACAGCTTCAGCCCTAAGCCCTCAACCCTACAGGGCCAATCCTGCTCCCAGCTCTAAGATGTTGTTCTGCCGCGTGTAGAGCTCAGGCAGCTAAGTTTCGAGTTATGCCATCGGCCGGTGAATGAGGCATCTTCTGCAAACTGTTGTTGCCGTCCATGGTGTTAGTAACCGTGGGGGCAAGCTTTGGTGGTACGGTCTATTCAGCTCGTAGCAAAATACAAGATCCAGCTTGCTTTCTTGGGCAGATTTCTGAGGCCTGATAGTATCAGCGTACAGAGCTGCTGATACACGTCATGTACCAACACCAACACACATGTTTTTGCAATGCTTACCTGGGGGCTTGTGTTCGAATTGGGGCCTGGGGTCCCTTGTGAGACCTCCTGGTACGGAATCGTATTTTCAAAACTATCTGAATCTATAAGGTGTGGCCTGAACGTAGAACAACCCCCTGCCAGGTAAGAGCGGGTGCTTGCAAACGAGCAAAAGTTAATAGCATTAGCAGCAGCATCTGCTTGGACAAGCATATCAATACTAATGCTACAGCAACGAAGGTACAGCTTGACTTTTCGTAGCACAATGCACCGAGGGTTTCAATGGTCTCGATCACGATCTTCGGAATAGGCGTGATGCTCGCAGTGCGCACAAAAATCACATGGCTAGCAAGAATGCGCAACTTCGGGAATCCTAATGCAGACTAGGTTACAGCTTTACACCATCGTACGGAAGCTGTCGGTGTCAACGTGCTTGTTTGGCCGGAGGCAAGGAGTTTCAAATCCGAGGCCCCAAACCTAAACCCTAATTCCTAGTTAAACCCGACCCGAAGCGCTAGACCTAAACCCCAACACCCTAGTTCAACCCGACCCTAAGCCCTCAACCCTAAACCCTAGACCCTAGACCCTCAACCCCCCGTAAACCTTAGCTCCCTCGTTCAACCCGAAATCTACAAAACCTGCACGATGACTGTTCTGCCGGAGCCCACTGTGGTCATCCGAGGTCATTCCGGGAGCCCCGGGGCAGTGGACACCTCAGCGTGTTCTCGGTTATAGCATTTAGGGTTTAGGGTTTAGGGTTAGGGTTTAGGGTTTAGGGTTTAGGGTTTAGGGTTTAGGGTTTAGGGTTTAGGGTTTAGGGTTTAGGGTTTAGGGTTTAGGGTTTAGGGTTTAGGGTTTAGGGTTTAGGGGTCAGGGTTGGGGGATGAGGGTTTGGGGTTGAGGGTGTAACTCGGGGTCGAAGGGTTCGGATCTTCAGGGCGTAAGGGCTAAGGGCCGAGTGCTCGTGCCATTCCCCGCGTGGGTTCCTCAGAAGCGTCCTCACGCAAAGGACCATACCCTGAACCCCAAAACCCAGACCCCTAAGCCCCAAACCCAAAACCCCTAAACCCTATAAACCCTATAAACCCTATAAACCCTATAAACCCTATAAACCCTATAAACCCTATAAACCCTATAAACCCTATAAACCCTATAAACCCTATAAACCCTATAAACCCTATAAACCCAAAACCCTAAACCCTAAACCCTAAACCCTAAACCCTAAACCCTAAACCCTAAACCCTAAACCCTTGAACCCACACCAAGGCCAAGAGAGATCTCGGTGCCTTCGGAAGTGGTCGGCGGCTTGATAGGCGACCCGCTTCGGGTAAGCCCATATGCCCCAGCAGCCCCGTAAGCTTCATAGGTGCTATTGTATAAAAGGTTTGGGGTTTAGGGTTAAGCCTGTTACGCCCAGAAGCCCCATAAGCCCCATATTGGGCTGTGGGCTGTGCTTTCTGAGGGTCTTCGGGGGCTCTTACAGGCTTCGGGCTGAGAACCTTCGAGGGCTAAGGATCTATTCTTGTTAAAAATCGTGACCCCAAACCCCAAACCCCAAACCCCAAACCCCAAACCCCAAACCCCAAACCGCAAACCGCAAACCGCAAACCGCAAACCCCAACCCCCAACCCCCAAACCCCAAACCCGAAACCCGAAACCCGAAACCCTGAACCCTGATCCCTGAAATCCCTGAACCCTAAAGCTTCAGCTCCAACTCAGGGAGTAGGTTTCAGGATCCAGGTCATTCGTCATCGGGGGGGGGGGGAGGCCTTTTCCGAAAGCAACTCGTATCTCCTTCTACTCCGAGTTAAGGGCTCCATTGGTAGCTTGAATGGCACCGACCCTCAACCCCCCAAAACCAAGACCAGCCCGAAACTGTGCGTGGACTTGTTTTGGATCCTTTAGGCTTTAGGCTGTAGGGGTTCAGAGTAGAGGGTTTCGGGTTTAGGGAAGACTTCCGACCCTACACCTCTAAACCCCTAAACCCTATAATCCCTAAACCCTGAACCCGTCGAGCGCTCAGCGAGACCAGGGCCGGCTCTGCTGGGCTGCAAGATCCTGCCTGCCACATCCATCCCCGAAGAAGGGGTCGCCTAGCTAAGCTCTGTCACTAGATATATGGTATCACCCTAAACCACCAAATCCTCCCGGAGGCTGCTGCTCTCCTTCACAAGGTATTCGTCTGTTTAGAGTCAAGCTCCACGGTGCAGCCTACAAACCCGAAGCTTCGGCTGTCTCCGGTTGGCGTCGTTTTGAGTAGTGTTTGGGTGGTCTTGGAGTGGGCATGTCTGCATCCTACTGCGCGCTTACCAGCGCGCGACCTCACCCAGACCATAAACCCTGAACCTTAAACCCCAAGGCGCATATGAACCCCACGTTTCGCCCGACCGGTGTCTTCAGCCCGCGGAGACTGTTCGGACTCCCCTGTAAACCCTGTAAACCCTTAAGCCCCTAAACTCTACACCCTTAAACCCTTCAACCCCTAAACCCTTGATCCCCTCAACCCCTCAGCCCTGAAGCCCTTCAACCCCTAAACCCGTAAACCCTGAACCCCTTAAACCCCCAAGCCCTTCAACCCCCAATCCCCGAAACCCCTAATCCCTTGGTTCAGTAGAGCTTTCAGCCATTTCCTCGGCCCGAAACCCGAAACCCTAAACCCTCAAACCTAAACCCTAAACCCTAAACCCTAAACCTCTCTACCATATAACCCTAAATGTTAAACACGAATTTGGCGTTTAGACCCCCACTGTTCAGCACGAATTTGGCTTTTTGACCCGTCTGACCCCTTTGGCCCCCCATTGTTCAGCACGAATTTGGCGATTTGACCCGTCTGACCCGTTTGGCCCCCCATTGTTCAGCACGAATTTGGCGTTTTGACCCGTCTGACCCGTTTGGCCCCTCCATTGTTCCGCACGAATTTGGCGTTTTGACCCGTCTGACCCCTTTGGCCCCCCATTGTTCAGCACGAATTTGGCGATTTGACCCGTCTGACCCGTTTGGCCCCCCATTGTTCAGCACGAATTTGGCGTTTTGACCCGTCTGACCCGTTTGGCCCCCCCATTGTTCAGCACGAATTTGGCGTTTTGACCCGTCTGACCCCTTGGCCCCCCATTGTTCAGCACGAATTTGGCGATTTGACCCGTCTGACCCCTTTGGCCCCCCATTGTTCAGTATGAATTTGGCGTTTTGACCCGTCAGACCGACCCATTTGGCCCCCATTGTTCAGCACGAATATGGCGTTTTGACCCGTCTGACCCGTGTGATTGTTTGGCCTCTTGGTGCGTCTGAACAGAAATTGATGAACTTTCTATTTTCTGAATGTTATGGGGTTCTTTGGGCGGTTTTTGTTTCCGTTGCCTACACACACTGCTGGCCTAGTAAATGCTCGAACTTGAGATGCTGAACCCTAAACCCTAAACCCTAAACCCTAACCCCTAAACCCTAAACCCCAAACCCTAAACCCTAAACCCTAAACCCTAAACCCTAAGCCCTAATCCCTAAACCCTAAACCCTAAACCGCAGGTCCCGGTGGCTCCGTCATCAACGATATCCGGCAGAGAGCTGGAGGTGGCTTGGCGGGAGCTCGAGGAGGCTTGGCATAACCCCTAAACCTTGGGATGTTCCCCCCTTATACTAACAGGGCAGTTTAGGGTTCAGGGTTTAGGGTTTAGGGTTTAGGGTTTAGGGTTGGGATGTTCCAGTCCTTGATAGGGATTATAGAAAGTAACCCCCTCTTAGAACCCCTACTAAGGACTGTGAGTATAAGGGGGGAACATCCCAACCTAAACCCCTAAACCCTAAACAACCACTTGAGTTGAGGGGCTTGGGCTGCCAGGGCCGCCAGGGCGGCTGGGGTGTAGGATTTGCGGTTGATATGTCCGTCCAGGTGCCCGAATGGTGCCATCGAATTCCTGTTAAGGTTTGCTTGAGGAACCCCATCGACAGAAAGTTTGGGTTCCGGTCTTTTTGGTAGGTTACTGGCAAACGTATAGGCCTCTTTTTCAGTTGCGGTGTGCGAGGCACCGGCCAGGGCGTAAAACACGCCCAAATCCTCCTGCAGAATAGGAACATGTCTACATTTTCAGTTCAATGCCTCAGAGCTTAGTGCTTCTGCAACCTGAAAATGCGGCGCCCGCGAGAAGGCATGCGTTGACATGTTTCCTGCGTATCCAAGCCTAGACCCAGGACCGTTGTAATCATTGCATATCCCCTAAACCCTAAGCCCTAAACCCTAAAGCCTCAACCCTAAACCCGGAAACCCGAAACCCGAAGCCCTAGCTTCGAACAACCTTCGAAGCAGAGGCCAGTGCCACATCTCCGTGCTGCCCGGGCCTGAGTGCGTAGGTCAAGCCACAGGTGCTCTAGGACCCAAGGGCTTTAGAGGCTGGTTCTTCGGACGGCTTTCAGGGGTTCAGGCTCACAAGGGTTTGGGTTTGGGTTTCGGGCAAAATAGAACGGGCTTACTCTGGGGTTCAGGCTCATGTCTACGACGCTGTTGAGAGCATTCTTGCAGTGCTGCCTTCGCGTGGCCATGAAGGGGCCGAAAAGATTAGCTATGTCATCTCCTTGCCATCTGCTCGAAATACCTACAGAACCCTATATTGCGTGTTGGGTTTGGGGCCTAAATCGAACGGGTTGCGGTTTAGGGTTTTAGGGTTTAGGGTCCCGTAATATGGTCCCTCACCTTCTTTGGGATTCCCCAAGTAAGGGCCCAGTTAACAGAACCCTGAAACTACCCAAAGATGAGGGGGAGTCCAGTGGCTTTGGAGGGTTTCGGGGTTTCGGGTTTACGGCCTACGGGGGCTTAGGGAGTGAGCGTGCTTCAAAGCGGCTTGGTTCGAGCTCAGAATCCGGGATTTAGGGTTTAGGGGTTCGGGGGCTCGGGGGTCGTTGCAGCTTACGGCTTACGGGCTTCGAAGCATCATCCCCGAAAGTTTGTAGGCTTTGGAAGTAGGCGTGGTGAGAGGAGCGGAAAGTCGCGGCAACAATCGCACCCCGCCCCTGTAGAACATGGCAAACACACACCACGAATCAACCAGACCTAAGCCCTAAGCCCTAAGCCCTAAGCCCTAAACCCTAAACCCTAAATCCTAAACCCTAAACCCCAAACCCCTAAGCTCCTGTCCTGAGGCAGCCCCAAGTTCCCGGCGGGCCGCAGGCCCTCCCTGGGGGCATGCTAATAACTTCGTCAGATTGTGGTGTGCAACTTTTGTGCCTTAGGGTTTAGGGTTTAGGGTTCCTATATAATCCCTTAAAGGGTATATGGGGATTTCCAAAAATGGGGTTACCCCTTGTATACTCCAAAATACTATATATAATTGTAAACGCTTGGGCGCGCCGCCTCGGCAGCCGGACCGGCCCCAGGACAGGAAAGGAGGAAAGAGGGTTTCGCAAAAAAAGGGAGGAAGGGCAGAGCGGGTGGGGGGCGGGGGTTGGGGGGGGGGGGGGGGGTGGGGGGGGTTGGGGGGGGGGGTGTTGGGGGGGGTTGGGGGGGTTGGGGGGGGGGGTGGGGGGGGGGGGGGGGTGGGGGGGGGTGGGGGGGGGGGTGGGGGGGGGTTTTGAGGCACTCCCCCTGTAGCCACAGACAAGCGGGACCCTCCACGGCATCGGTTTGCAGCTCCTCCAAGGGATTGGGGGGGGTCCCACAGGGCGGGGGGGGGGGGTTGCGTCAGAAAATTTGGCACGGGGGGAAGGGTTGGGTTAGGGGGAAGGAGGCCCGATCCGGGTCTGCTTGTTCCAGACGCTTTTCGGCAGGAAGCCCGAGGCGAATCCTTTCAAAAGAACCCCCAAAAAGGGCACCCGGGGTACCCCTATTTTCGGAAAACCCCCCATAAATAAAGCCCTGATTCCCTCATTCCCTTGTAAGAACCAGGGGGTAAAGGCCTTTATAAGCACCAGGCCCTAGACCCTAGGAGAATGGCTCCGGGTGTAGGATGTAAGCACTTGGGGTGAAAAATGGCCCTTCAACGCAGATCGACGCCCCACATCTTCGAACACCCTCGGCTAAGCCTTTCGAAGCCCTGCCCCTCTCAGAAAAAAACAAGGTATGACCCAGGCTTTGGTTGCCAACAGTCTCTGGAAAGAGGGTTTCTCTGAAGTGCGAAGTCTTGTACCCACCACATACAGAGACCCATAGGCAAGGATGCCACACCACACTGTGAAATGTGGGCACCTGCTGTGCTTCCGCAGTACACTCCACCAAGAGGATCGTTTGACCCCGCAGCCTGTAGCCTTGCCGAGGGATTTCGCCGGACCCCAAAAACCTGCAGCTCTAAACACCCAGAACTTTTCGCCCTTAGCCAAGCCCTAACCTTAGACAATCCTTCAGGCTTGACGCCAAAATAGGCCTAGGCCCTAAACCCTAAACCCTAAACCCTAAACCCTAAACCCTAAACCCTAAACCCTAAACCCTAAACCCTAAACCCTTAAACCTAAACCCTAAACCCTAAACCCTAAACCCTAAACCCTAAACCCTAAACCCTAAACCCTAAACCCTAAACCCTAAACCCTAAACCCTAAACCCTAAACCCTAAACCCTAAACCCTAAACCCTAAACCCTAAACCAACAAAACCTATGTCTCGAATTGCCAGCGCGCCAGGTTTGCCGCATCACCGGCCCGGAGGACATGACGCCCTGCTTCGTGCCGCAGGGCTTTACTTGCCTGCAGTGTAATATAGGGGGGGCCTTAATAATTAGAATGTTATTACAGTATACTTGCAAAGGGACCATAGGGGAATATGAGTAGTAATTATTCCGGCCCCTATGGCAGGGTTTTTTGGGGTCCGGTTTAGGGTTTAGGGTTTCCCAACTACTTGCGGCTTTTTTGGGGTGGCATGTCGAATCAAGGGGTCATCTCGAACAGAGACCGGTGTGTTAATCTGCCACTTTGTCAACTTTGAGGGGTTGCAGGTAGGCTTTCAGAGTTTCAGAGGGCTTTGCAAAGTTTCCGCTTTGGAGGTTTAGGGAGTTTAGGCTTCGGATTTGAGGCCAGCCCTTGAACCCTAAGCCGTAAATTCGCCACAGTGGGCCAGTTCGATCGCAGGCGGTTAGAGTTCGGGGAGGTTGGAGGACTTAGGGCCCTGTCAGTTTTAGGTGGCGGGAGCAAAAGAAAAGATGAAAGCGGGCAGCAAAACGCCCTGAGCCACCCTGCCGAGTGCACTATGTCACTATGATGAAACCCCTCTAAACCCATGCGCGCGCGCATGGGATCCTGTGAGAGCTTCGCGCAGGAGCTCCTCCAACAAGCCGAGGCAGCAGCAGGGGGGTTGGGGTTTAGGGTTTAGGGTTTAGGGTTTAGGGTTTAGGGTTTAGGGTTTAGGGTTTAGGGTTTAGGGTTTAGGGTTTAGGGTTTAGGGTTTAGGGTTTAGGGTTTACGGTTTAGGGTTGAGGGTTGAGGGTTGAGGGTTGAGGGTTGAGGGTTGAGGGTTGAGGGTTGAGGGTTTAGGATTTAGGGTTTATTTAGGGTTTAGGGCTTGGGCATTTTAGGGTTTGGCCTGGGACCTTAGGGTCTCTATGGGGTTTCCGAAATTAGGGGTACCTTATTGGGGTCCTTCTGATAAGGGGATCCTACACGGGTTGAGGCTTTAGGGTTTATGTTGCTTTTCTTGGTGAGTGTATATAGCTCTTGTTTAGATATAGTATATCGGTGAGTATATATATATATATAGATAGATTGGGTGTCCTGGTGAGTCTATGAGGGAATCTGAGTTTGGGCCTTGAGCCCTAAGCCCTAGAACCCTCAACCCTAAAACCCTAAAACCCTGCGCAATCCTCCCATCTCCCCTGACCCTTAGGTAAGTACCTTACGCCTTTGGCATGCCGGGGAATCGGGGGGATAGGATACTAACCCTACGCCCTAGACCTTAAACCCTAAACCCAAAACCCACATCCAAGACGTGGGAAGGAGCTGGTCCAAATCAAACTCAACGAGCTGCTCACGACGCGTGGCATTCGACCGCTGGGGCCCTGAAACCCAAAGCCTTGGACCCCAATCCCGAGACCTACAACCCCAGGGTTTAGGGTTTAGGGTTTAGGGTCTAGGGTCTAGGGCTTAAGGTTTACTTGGAGGTTCAGTGTACTTATCAACCAATTACAACTGTACTTATAGCCCACTTTTTAAGCCCCTTAAGTTTGGGTCAGAAGTACATCTCATTGGTTGAAAAGTACCATGAACCTTCAAGTCGACCTACAACCCAATAACCCTAAGCCCTAAACGCTAGGTCCATGGGTTTTTGTATGTGTGTGTGTGTGTGTGTAAGGGGTCGTTAGGCCTCCTGAACCGCCTTGTGATGGTGTGTTTCTCCGACAAACACTTGATTCAGGGTTCAAAGGCTTAGGAAGTTCAGGCCCGAAGGAGCCCTAAACCTTAAACCCGGATTTGAGGCTTCGGGAACGTCGATCGGCTTCCGGAGGAACCTATTCAACCACCCCCCCCACCCAAAGACATTGTCCCTAGTGTCGGAATTACTCCTTTGTACAGGTTTCAAGTTTCATGGGCGTGCAGGAATGTAGGGTGTAGAGGGCGTTTGGAGCTTAAGGCTTAAGGGCTTCGATGTCCAAGCCTTCTAGGGTTCAGTGGTTCGGGCTTACCCCATTAAGCCTTAAACCCTATACAGCCTAACCCCTAAACCCTACAAACCCGAAGCCCTAGACCCTATAAAGCCTGTAAACCCTATGAATTCTATTCACCCTATAAACCCTATAAGCCCTAGAAGCCCTATAAACCCTATCAACCCTATAAACCCTATAAACACTATAAACCCTATAAGCACTATAAACGCTATGAACCTTGTAAACCTTATAAACCCTATAAACTCTAAACCCTATAAATCCTAAACCCTACACCCTGTAAATCCTAAACCCCAAGCCCTCAACCCTATCAAGCCTGAGCCCCTATAACCCTGCGCCCTAAACCGGAAAAAAACCCGAAGCCCCTATCACCCTACGCCCTAAACCCCATTAAACCCTGAGCCCTAAACCCCATGAAACCCTGAGCCCTGAACCCTATAAACCCTGTAAATCCTGAACCCTAAGCCCTAAAGCCTATAAAGCCTACAAAGCCTATAGCCCTTAAAACCCTATAAACCCTGTACGCCCTATAAACCCTATAAACCCTAAGCCCCTGTAAACCCCAAAAAAGTCCTGCACCCTAAGCCCTAAAGCCTCGACCCTCCCCGAAAGTGCGAGGTCAGGGGGAGCTTGGGGGCCAACCTCCTCCCCGGTCTACCCGCAGGTGCGGCACCTGTCTTCGCATGTTGAGGGTTTAGGGTTCGTGGGGTTTTTGAGGTTTTCAGGGTCTTTAGGGTTTAGGGTTTAGGGTTTAGTTCTCAGTTGTGCAAGACGAAAAGCCCCCCCGAGATGCCTTAGACTCTCGAGACGCCCAAGAAGGGGACCCCCCCCCCCCCAAAAAAAAAGACCCTCTGTGGACTTCCTTCAATCCTTAAGTCCTCAAATCTCTTAACTCGCCACCCTGCGGCCTGCATCCCTAATGTCGGGGTCGGAATAATTACTAAACATATTCCCTTATGGTCCCTTTGTAAATATATTATAATAACCCTCAAAATCTCTATATTAGATGAGTCTCTATCCCCACCAAACACGCAGAAGAGTACTGGACAGCGGGGTTGGGGTTTGGAGTTTCGAGCCTCTAGAGCTGGGAGCTGAAGGGCTTTAGGTGCTTCGGCGCACTACCTAAGCCCTAATCCCTAAAACAGCACTGGTACAAGAGCAACCTGACAACCCTAAGATACACAAAGCAGAGCTTTAAGTTTTGAACCCGAAGACATGAACCTTAAACCCTAAACCCTGTAGGGCCGACCTGCCGGCATGATCGCGCCGAGCGCGAGCCCCGGACAAGGGCTGCGGTGCTGGGACTTTGGGCTTCACTGTAGGGTTTAGGGTTTAGGGTTTAGGGCTTAGGGTTTAGGGTTAGGGTTTAGAAGTTTAAGGTTTGTGTTTTGGAGTTTAGGGGTTCACTTGCGATCCCAAACCATACAACTTCGTAGGTTTTAGTCCCCACCCGAAAGTGGAAGGTATCGACTCCCCCCTCCCCCAATGTAACAGGAAACTGCAGACCGAGACAGAACCCCAAACCCCAAACCCCAAACCCTAAACCCTGAACCCTAAACCCTAAACCATAATTAAGCCCTAAACCCCTCAGGTTGGGTTGAAGGGTAGGGATTTCAATCTGAGGCTCAAGAGCCGTGACCTCCAGGGGTTAGGGGAGCGCTTTTGCTTGAAGGTTCAGGGGCAGGTTTTAAAATAGTCGTAAAACTAGCTAGCCTTCAGTCGAGGATTCTGAATGCCATGAATGCATGAAAGTCAGCCTCAGCTCGCTTCAGGGTACGACTCTGCGCATCCCGATCAAATTAGCCTTGCCAAGCCCTAACCCTAAACCCTAAACCCTAAACCCCTAAACCCCTAAACCTGCGATAGCTGTCCATGGGCTACTGCTCCGACTCCTACTTTCCTGCCTCTGCAGTCACGATAGCGTAGGTTTAGGCTTTAGACTTTTGGGTTTAGGGTTTAGGGTTTAGGGCCCTATCACCTGAAGCCAAAACCCCGATGGCAAGAGTTGCCGCAATAGGTAAGTGCATACCGCCATCCGGCACGATAAGAAAAGAATCCCGTTCCTGACCTCCATCCCCGATGCCCTGCAGTAAGGTCTCGAGCGCTTGACCCCCGAGACCCTACACCGCAAGCCCTAAACCCTAAAACCCTGTAACCCTGTAACCCTAGAACCCTAAACCCTAAACCCTAAACCCTGAACCCTGAACCTTAAACCCTAAACCATAAACCCTAAACCCTAAACCCTAACCCTAATCCCCGGTGCACCAGATCTGCCACTGCGGCCCGCGATGGGCATCGGGGGCGCCCCTCCCAGCTCCGAAGGCTGGCTAGGGTTTAGGGTTTTCGGTTTTCGGGTTTCGGGTTTCGGGTTTAGGGTTTAGGGTTGTTTAGGGTTCAGGGTTTAGGGTTTAGGGTTTAGGGTCTTTGTTTCCTTCTTCTTCTTCTTCTTCTTCTTCTGCTGCTTCTGCTCTCGTACTCGTACTAGTACCGCGCTAGCAGTGTTACAACTCGTAACTTTTGCTGTTGCTGCTACTTGTATCTTTTTTCTTCTAACAATATGTTTTTTGGTTGGGGCTGGGTGAGCAACCATTTTTGGTTCGTGATTCAGGGTGTAACGAGGAATGTAGACTTTAGGACAAAGGGAGGCAGCGTGCAGGGGCGGTTCAAGTTCGGGGAATGCCAACTTCGAGGGAATGGTTGGCCGGAAACCTGGGATTTTGAGGTCCTCCGAGTCTATAACCCTATAAACCCTAAACCCTTTAGACCCTCTAGACCCTCAGCCCTAAACCCGAAATCCTCTAGACCCTGAATCCTCCTAGACCCTAAACCCTAAACCCTAAGCCCTAAACCCTAAACCCTAAACCCTAAACCCGAAACCCTAAATCCTGCAGCTGCCAGGATCCTACGGCGCCGGATCACCTCCCGGTATTAGCAGGCCGGGGCTCAGGGCTGTAAATTGGGCTTGTGTTATTTGGGGGGGTGGGGGGGTGGGGGGTTTAGGGTTTAGGGTTTAGGGTTTGGGGTTTGGGGTTTAGGGTTTAGGGTTTAGGGTTTAGGGTTTATGGTTTAGGGTGGGGTGGGGGGCGGGGAGCCCCGGGTTTAGGGTCAGGGTTCAGGGTTTGACTAGGGTTGAGGGTTTCGGGTTTAGGGCTTTTGGCTCTAGACTTCGTCACTCTTTTTTTGTTTGTTGGGGGCGGGGGGGGCCTTTCTTTCATTCGCGGTTCCCCATGATAAATAGTACTTTTAGATACCTAGAGGTACTTTACTTGCGAATATGTTTGTAGGTACTTCTAAATGCGTTGGAAATACCTGTTATGCCTGTACCTACATACAAGATTACTTTCAATTACTTGCAAGAACTTGACGAAACTTGCGTGATTGCTTCTCCTTTCTTGTGCCTTCTTAGTGGGAAAGTCGTAGCGGGCAGTTGCTCCAGAGCCTTGCTCGCGCTGTGGTGGCGGAGGAAGCTCGCAGAAGCCTTCGCGGAAGCTCACCACATGCGGAAGCATGTTGCGGAAGCAGGTTTCTTTTGCCTCTAAACCCTAAACCCTAAACCCTAAACCCTAAACCCTAAACCCTAAACCCTAAACCCTAAACCCTAAACCCTAAACCCTAAACCCTAAACCCTAAACCCAAAACCCTAAACCATAACCCTAAACCCTAAACCCTAAACCCTAAACCCTAAACCCTAAACCCTAAACCCTAAACCCTAAACCCTAAACCCTAAACCCTAAACCCTAAACCCTAAACCCTAAACCCTAAACCCTAAACCCTAAACCCCGCATTTCAGCCGAGGTTGGGCCGCTGTCAGCTTCAAGCCCACAAGCCTTGTAACCCGAACAGTAGACCTTGAAGCTGAGCAAATGACCGACGAACAATAGTATTTCATGTTGGACCCTCTTAATGTGGGCCCCCCCCCCCCCCCTCCCCCGCGAGCAGTCGAGGCTGGATTTGTCCCTGTTTAGACGCTCCCTGGGGTTTATTTGATTTTAATAGGGAAGAGTTTAGAGAAGCTTAAAAGGGGCAGTGATGCTCGGCTATCTTCTTTAAAGGCGCGCCACGTGAAATTTTCTTACGGCGCCCGGACGAGTTGCCTTTAAAGAGGGACTCCCAAACAGTCAGGGTGTCCTGAATAATTCGGCCAAATTGACTTCAAAGAGGAGGCCCCTACTAAACAGGGTCCAACATTATTTGCTTCATACACCAAAGTTTACAGTACTACCGTCCTCGTCTGCCTGGTTTTGCTTATCACAAGGGTGCGGCCCCGCGGAAGCTGCGCGAAGGCGACGGAGTCATTTGGCAGTGTAGGGCCCATTTGCGTGCGAGGCTTGCAGGATCATTTGTGTACTCGGGTCGTGAAGCCACGTCCTTGCGTGGGCACGATGTCCTTCAATCAAACGCACGCGATCACGTTCGCAGACGCCCGATGACAAGAGGAGAAACCCCGCGGAACTTCAGAGATTCAGCGGAAGCAATGGGCATTGCGATCGTTTTAAAAAAGGCAGGCGGCTGCTTGCAGAGGGGCTGCGGAAGCTCGCGCGCGGAAACGTTGTTATTCCCAGCTGTTACAATATCCATTTGAACACAAGCAAGAACTGTTGAACACAGCTCACATGTGACTAGTTTACAAGCTAAGACTGTACTTTTACAACGAAGAGGCTTTGTAAAGAGCAGCTCCCCCCTAAACCCTAAACCCTAAACCCTAAACCCTAAACCCTAAACCCTAAACCCTAAACCCTAAACCCTAAACCCTAAACCCTAAACCCTAAACCCTAAGCCCTAAACCCTAAACCCTAAACCCTAAACCCTAAACCCTAAACCCGGTACTGCTTAGCAACATAGGGAGTTGCGCGATATAAACGGAACCCAAGGCTCGTCATCCCAGCTGAGAACTTGAGGCTTGAGTTTGAGGGTTGAGGATTTCGGGTTTAGTTTTGGGCTTGAGGGCTCAAGGTTTCGGGCTCAGGGCTGAGGGTAACCAGCTGCGCCGCAGACCTTCCCACGTCGGCCAGCAGTCTGTTTTCACCCGCCCGGGCCCCTGGATCTTACTGCGGGACTGCAACCATGTCTAACCCCAAGCCCCAAACCCTAACCCGAAAACCTAAACCCAAGACCTGAACTCCACGCCCTAGACTCTATAGACCCAGACCTAAACCCTAAACCCTAAATGCCAGGATCTGAGTGGTATGGGTTTTCTTCCAGCTCCATGTTCCGCTGTGTTTTTTGGGGCTTTGGGTTTCGGAGGATCGCCAGGCGTGCACATCATGGGTCAGGGGGTGTTACGCTGAGCCCTAACCTCGGGAACCTTAAAGGCCAAACCCACAACCCCCCCCCCCCATAAAGCCGTATACACCCCACCCACCATATAAACCCAAACCCTACAAGAGGCGCTCTAAGCCCCTCAAGCCATAGAATCCCTACAAACCCGACCAGGCCTACAATTCACATCCACAAAGCCTGTAAAACCGATGAACCTTATGAATTGGGATGTCTGAAAGACTGTAAGTATAAGGAGGTAATTAGATCCCAACTTACGAGCCTTAGAAGGGTTTAGGCCCCTGAATCCTAGACCCTAAACCCCAAAGCCCTTATAGGCCTTACAGGGTTTACAGGGTTTGGCCCCGAAACCCGAAAGCCTCATTCCCCCAAACCCTGTACCCAAGCCCTTTACGAGGACCCAGAGTAGGCCCGCGTTCCATTTAGGTTCCCTTGCCCCTTTAAACCAAAAAGGGCGCCCTTTGCATTCCAAGGTTACTCTTGCATCTGGTGCACCCAAACCCTAAAGCTTTAGGGTTCCCTAAACCCTAAACCCTAAACCCTAAACCCTAAACCCTAAACCCTAAACCCTAAACCCTAAACCCTAAACCCTAAACCCTAAACCCTAAACCCTAAACCCTAAACCCTAAACCCTAAACCCTAAACCCTAAACCCTAAACCTAACCCTAAACCCTAAA